ATTTTAAATATTAGGAGTGAATGAGAAAGATGATGTCTTATGAGTGCATTCCAGAGTTTTAAATACATATTTTGTGAACACTAGAAAAGCTGAGACCTAAACATTTTCCTTGTTTTTACTAAGAGATGGGAATTAGGCTGTGTGCAGCCAAATAAATAAATAAACAAACAACTACCTTTTCGTTGCAGTTCCTGACAAAATGAATTGCTACTCCTATGTGCTCTGATAATCTGGTGCAGTGCCTCTAATGAGTCATTGGTATTAGCTCCACATTCAGAGAGTATCCACACTGTCTACACCGGGGGACCGACCCTGCAATAGCACTGCACATCTGTGAAGTGCAACGTGCCTTCCATTAGCATGGTTTTAATTGGCAGTTGAAAGCACTCAATTCCTCACAGAACCAGACCCAAACAAGTGTTCATAATATAAAACATGGGAAAGCAATTTGCCCCCAAAACATTAGCATGAAATGCTAAGTAATCCATTACAGCGAGAAACACCGAACATTAGCACATGTTGGGAGGAACAAGCCAAGTGCACTGTACCTTTTAAATCAAAGCGATAGGTTCCTGAGGAATGGTGTACACATGCAACAAAACTCATCACTTAAACTGTCATCTCCCCAGACATATGGCTATCCATTGATTACATGGTTCAAGCTGTAACTCGTTAAACAGTGTTATTTTTTTGTGACTATATTTTAAAATACTGGACACATGAAGCCACCGGAGTGAAGTTGTAATACAATAAGGGGTAAAAAGGTTGAAGGAAAGTATGGTATTCATAAACGGCTGACTGGTACTATGGATAGAACAGTCCATTTTTTTTGTGGTTGTTGTTATTGCCACTTCTAACTATTGGCTAGGAATCAAAGTAGTGTTGGTCTAACATAGATGTATGTCCAGGACTTTCTTGATGGGATAGTGTAATTTCCCTATCCCTGGTCCAGTCATGAACCTGAAAAAGAAATGCTCTAATGCAAGGCTGGTGAAGAGTGATAGTCAAGTTGTTGATGAGGAGTTCATACTTTCACTAGCTCCTCTTTCTTCCTTTCTACTTCATATTTAAAAACCAGGTACTGTATTCAGTGTATTGGAATTGTTCTTGTACAAGCACCCAGGAGAGAAAATATCAGGGTACATAATGAAAGAATATATACTGTCAGCTTTAAAAACACTGAAAATTATGAGCTGAGTGGAAAAAAATCAGTGAGATGAGTGTGGAAATTGCAAGGCCTTTTGTTAGTATGTTAATAATATATTTGAGTTCATTGTGTTTTATACCTTATTTTTGACATTTAAAAATTACTTTTTTAGACAACTCCTCTTCCCATGCCTCCCACAAATGCTCAGCTCAATGTATTTTTCTGTGTTACAACACGCATGAGAGCTCAAAACAAGAAGTATGTTAGTGAGGGACAAAGGGTATTGTTACAGTAAATCTTAACCCAAGCAGGCTGCTCAAGTGTGCACTTCATCACAGCAGCCTCTGCTTTCCATCCATGGTTCCTGCAGTACCATTACTGGTGATCAGACACCCGTTCCACACAATTCTCTCTGGCAGCTACTGAGTTTGCTAGGAGGTTGGGAAGTGGGATTTCAAAGCACAGATAAAAACACAGATTCCTATCTGCTTCAGCAGCTGGGCACGTGTTTAGAAGAACTCCCAAAGAAGATAAGAGAAGCAGGGTTATTGCAGATGTGCTTATGTTGCAAGAGATCATTCTAACAATCTGCCTTTAAGAAACTTCATGTTTGTGATCCACACCCTTGTTTAATGGCACAGCACCTGGTGCAGCCTATGGGTTATGCAAATGAATATAGTACTATGCTTGAAATGAAAGTAAATGTTCTCATGCAATACCACAATTCCAGCATCTGGAATGAGAGTCAGTATCATGAGGCTTCAAATAAAACTGAGAGTAGGAAACAAAGCAATACAGGTAGGGGTTGATCTTCATCAATATTCAGTCAGGGAGATAACAAAACCATTAGGACTACACTGTGACAGCCATGATTGCAGCAATAGTGTGCTGTAGTCCCTAGGGATACATGTGCAAAGGGGATATTTCTCTGAGGTGCCACTGGCATGCGCTGTTCTTTTCCTTTTCTGTAAGGGTGGTCCTTTAAAATAAACATATACTGGTAGTTCTTGACCTTCCTAGGGTCAAGCCATGATGGTCAGAGGTTGGGAGAGAGCCAAGCCTACACCCATTCCCTGACCTTCTTGCACATCTGCTGTAAGAAGTCCTCTCCCAGCAACCAAGGTCCAAGGTTTGTTTTAAAACACACAGTGTAATAAGGAGATTTCCTAATTTTTCTTACTCCTGCAGTCTTTCAATCCAAGTCACAATCAAGTCCTAAGAGCTATCTTATTAGAAAGCTGGACCTATTACTGACATTCCTTTTACTTTAAAAGTTTAATTCAAATAGTGCTCTGCAAATGTCAAGTTTTCTCCCTTCAGTGTAAAAGTGATATAATATGCTACAGAACACATTTCACAAAATTAAACATAAGCAAAGACTCAATCATGTGACTTCTGTATAATCCTGTACATCAGCATGTCCTGATAAGCCGAGCTGTGATCTCAGGGTTTAAACCCATTCATTTTAAAGACTAAGCATTTGATTCCTTCTTGCTGAGTTCTGTGAAGAGATAACTGACATCAGTTTTCTTTGCATCTTTGCAGTTGTTGCAACCTCATTATTCTTTGGATTATCTTGGCAGTTATTCATTTTCTAGGTTTAGTTGGTGCCATCTTGTCTGTAGAGTTCTACGGTTGAAAGTACAACACAAAGAAAGGTCACAGAATAAAAGCAAGTCAGCCTCCATCTTCTAGCATTTGTGGGACTCCTTTTATTTCACAGTTGTTCATTTTCTACTTGCTTTTGTTTCTTGGCAATTGCATGATTTCATCCTGCCCATGCAGCTCATGTGAATGTCCTGTGAATACTAGAAAAGTTCCCCTTTCTTCCTTCACACTGCCTGTTTTTACTATTTCTGCTGGAGTTCTGTAATTGCGGTGAGGTAACACACCCTCATGACTCAAAACAGCTAATCTCCAAAAGCACAATAACCAAGAAGCCTAGCATACATTGGCTTGTCACTAGAAGTTGATATTCAACAATGAACTATGAGAGGACTTAAGTCAAAGATTTTGCCCTCCTCCCCCCACCCTGTCTCCCTTTGGAAAATAAATGTCTGATTCATGCAAAAATAATGTATGAACCATTTGCACTGCATTAAAAAAAATCTGCTTGTTATTCTGAGACAATTCTGCCTTCTTCTGCCTGGAATCACACTGCTCTGCTTCAGATAACTTAGGGGTGAGCCAAAAATATATGGTGGTATTTGCCAAAATGCAGAAGCTAAAATTACACAAATGTCAGGATAAAAATGGGAAAATGCAGCTTCTAATAGGCTTTAGAGCAGCTGCGAGAGCAGGAGCAACATTCCTACAGCAACTGCTTCCCAGTGGCCAGTATCATTTCTATACATGCAGTAATTGTCATTAAATATTATGCTGCCACTTGCCAGCAGCGTCTGCAGAGCGGTATCAGTATGACCACAGCATTCCACTGCACTTAAAATAGAAATTAGCAGGGGTAGGACGGTCCTTATGGTCTAAGGGTGGGTAACAATTACTGGGCATTGCAAGGTCATTCGATGTGAGATGGTTTCTTTGTTCCACATCCACTCTAACAGGGAAGAGGTAGCTGTACTTGAGCTGTCTCAGAGATTTGCACTCCTGCTTCTCCTTCCCTAACTCTGTCAGAAAGAAATTGTACTCGTTAGTCAGCAGTATTTGTGAAGTACCTTTTTCTCAGGAGATTCAAGGATCTCCAGAAATACAAAGTATTAGTAATGCAAACTACCAAGTAGACTTACTCGACCTTCTCTTGTTTTCTGTGTTTAATTTCCAGTTGAATTCAGGGGGTTTTCCACATATGCTTAAGGTTAAACAGGCTCAAAGGCCATTTCTGAATTGTGGTGCTTTCTGAACTAGGAGCTCTATTAATTGCTCATCTTGCAGAATGGAATTTAATTTATTTGGCATATTTTAAATCACTTTCCAGAAATAAGTTAAATTCTGATTACATGCATTCCCAACTTCTATAAAACTTTTAGCACAGATTGCTTTCTTGTTTCTAAATCCCTTATTGGATTCATGAGCTCTTATTTCATTTCACTCCTCTTCATATATTTTTAAGCCTCTGAGGTCTAAGTTCACTTCTGAAGTCAAATGGGTGAAATGCTGTTGATTTTCTGGCAGTTCTGAAAGTGACAATTTTCTCTATCACATAAATTACCATATTTCCTGTTATTTATTTTATGATACTGGTATTTCGCTCACACAGTTTTTTCTGTACCCATAAAATTTTCCAGCTGGGATATAATTTTCTAATCCTTCTGTAAGGCCATGTATTTTGTTTCACCTCTTAAAGAAATTTAATATTGTCAATCTGCAATATTCTCTCTTGGAGACAGATGATCTAACGTTTACTTCTCAGTAAAGAAATCATTGGCATTCAACCCACTTGTGCTCACATAACACCTGAGAATGAGGAAGGTGCTACAGTTTAAGTTTTTCTCATATGAAATCGTCATCATACATGTGAACTTCTAGCGGTTGAAAATAGAGCCTTTTTTTCCACACAAAAGAGGAGAGTGTGGGTATCCCCAGAGCTCTTCTGCAGGGCTAAGAACAGCAGCCAGTTGTGGTCTCGCTGAGCCAAAAAAAACCCCAAACAGATAAAGAAAACTTTAGAATTTAATTTTCTAACAGCTGAGAAAGTACAAAGTTTGTGTTTTTTCTATTTTTTCCATTGGCGCAATGAAGTATATACAGTCAGAGGCCATACAAGAACAAAACCAGAAGTATCATGTGGATAAAGTTACATGCTGATAATAACTCATGAGATGCTATTTTACTATTGACAGATCAAAATGAGAATCATTTCTCTTTGTTAGGTCTCGTAGCTTTATAATACAGGCCTTATTTTTCCATGAAACAACTTTGTAGTTCAATTTGTTCTGAGTATGGTAAGAGTTAATCTGAAATTTGAATATTTTTTTTCCACGAACAACATATTTCTGGATGAATTTATCTTTCTTTCTGATGCCTTAGAAAATAATAGCTATTTCATCACTCATCCTCAGGACTCTTATGTCATCCTAAGAATTGTTTCTTTGAGAAAGTCTCTTAGTGGTGGTAACTTTATTAGCTTGATGTTAAAAACCTATTTGAGAGTACCCAGCTAACAATTATCCAAACATGTTCTTTTTCAAGGCTACAACTCACTCAAACAGCTGAGTCAATGAAGAGGGAAGGCAGGAAGAGTGAGGATTAGGGATGAAATGTGTTCTTAAAAAGGGTGCCTACCTCCAGTGCTTCCTGGCATATTGTAATAGGGAGCTGTGACTGAAGTGCTGAGTGCCACTGCAGTGATATATTTGCTTTTCACCAAATAATATTATAGATACATATGGTGCCCTTCACTTTGAGACTTTACCCAAAGATTTCAGAAATCTTGGGCTAGGTTTTCTTCCTCAGAGAAGATAATTCACACTATTTTTAATGTCCTAATTTCAGTGGAAGAATTTCCAATTGTTCCAGGAGTAAGAGAAGAGGATTAGGTCTCAGCTTGCTCCTCAAATATTTCTGCTTGATGTACTATGGAGATACTCCAGACTGCTTTAATTGAATTACCTCAGGTATAGAGGCAATGTAGCCAGAACAATATGCAGTGTGGTACAGGCTAAGTTCTATTTGCAAGAAGAAAGGGTTATTTTTATTTTTATTTTTATTTTTATTTTTATTTTTATTTTTATTTTTATTTTTATTTTTATTTTAGTATTTTGTATGTAGCACTGTGAAACATTTTGCAATTCCAGTTAAATGGAACAGTTTAAGACTGTACTACTGAAAGTTTTGCTCATTTGGAACCTTGAAGTTCCAGCTTTTAGCAGCTTTTCTAAAGACAGCAGTGTTCAAAACATAAAGGTAATAAAATATTGAGTTTCAGGGGATTTAAAATCCCCTTCAAATTCATGTCCCTACTGATAAACAATTTTAACAAAATTAAAGGGAGTGGAATTTTGAAGAATCCAAAATATTTAATTCTGGGACTTTTTAACTAATTTTGTTTATTTATTTATTTACATTTTAAGAATCTGATAATTCATTGACACACTTAATTTCAAACTACATAAAGTATTTCCAATGGACCTCAAATACATTTCTCTTTTTCGTTTTTGTGGGGGATCCACACATCATCAAAATCCACCATCAGAAACAATGAATTGTTATCACGGAGATGCCCAGCTTGACCCAAAGCCTTTCTCACCTTGAGCAGCTCTTTGAAGCCAAAGTTCCAGATGGATTTTACAGGAGAGCAGAGTGTAGAACTTCTGTAAGAGGAAGATCAGTAAAAGCAGAACAATGAGAGTATTTCACCAGGTGAATATCAGAGAATCACAGAACATTCTCAGTTAGAAGTGACCCACAGGTATCATCAAGTCTAATTCTTAAGGGAATGGCCCATACATGGGATTGAACGCGTGACCTTGGCATTATTACCACCAAGTTTTAACCAAATATGAGGAGCATCATGTTGCTCTCACTAATTCCATAAGGCAAGTACATAGTACTGAAGATAAAAAACAAATATCAGTAGACACTGCTCTCTTAAACTGCTCACAAGAGTCACTGAGCCAATTCTGTTGTGAAATGAAAAAAGCCTTCTGAACCTGCAACAAAGAAGCTAAATTCAGGAAATCTTCCCAAATTCTATTCTTTATGGCAGGACTGTAGAAATATACATTTTTTTCCTTTGAAGCATTAAATTGTCTTCTGAAGAATATTGCTAACAGAAGGAAATCATCTGTTGAATGACTTATACCAAAGCAGTATTTGGCTTGTGCAGTATTCTCAAAGATATGTAGACTTTTCATTGTAGTCAGAATATTAATATATGAAATTGTAATAATGATTTATTAATTAACTGAGACTGTCATCACAACTTTCTATAGCTAATTTAAATGGCAACCACACTGGAGTCTGTTTTGTCTCATGTTCTCCCTTTCAGTAAAATCAAGCAGAGACACTTTGTTGGCCATCTGACATACTTTTATCTTTGCCTTCAAGGACCCTGGGGAAACAGGGAAAGAATATGGAAAGAGGATTTTTACCTCATGACTTTGAGACTTTCCTCCAAGCCCTGCACTTTTCCCCCCTCCCTTTTCCTGTTCAATAAGATATCAAGAGAGAATGTGAGCAAGGGGGGTGGAAGGGGAGAAAGAGAGTGAAAGGAACACTGATTTAAATATTTTCTAGTGTCTAAACACTAAAAAAAAAAAAAAATCATCTTTTAAGGTTTTCTGAGCCATGGCTAGAGAAGAATTTTTCAAACTATAAAAAGAAGAAAGTGATTCATGTTTTCATGTATTTACAGCAATCATCTCCAATCAGTAACTAAAACAGGGAAAGAATGGAGTTTCAGTACCCAGGGAAGCAATACCCCTAAAAACATCCAACTGTATAGCAAAAAGTACTTGTAGAAACAGATGCTAAGGCAATTAATTCAATTTCCTCAAAAATATTTATCATGCTTACCAAAGCAGAAGACAAAGAGAGAAATTATCATGTCACAGTTCATACCTAGAATATATTCTTAAAATTTTCACTGTTCTTTGGAGACTCAATAGTGACTCTTCCTCTTAGGTAGTTACTGAAGATATTCAAAGGCACTGAATGCTGAATTATCAAATGCGATCTACTAAAAACTAATATATATCTTTAAACAACTTGACAGTCTTCATTTAAGTCCAAGTTCTTTAATTTAACTCTGACAGGTTTGGCAGAGAACTGGAGAACGAAGCAGATAGATGAGTAGATGAGTGGGTTGAATAGGGAAAACACATCTACACTCATGAGTGCATCCATTGGCTCCTGCCTTCAAAGGTGGCAGCAGTTGGGCTACTGGAGCTTGTTTTCAGTGCTTCATCTAACCAAGGAGCAGAAAAGGCAAATATTCATTTTGGAAGAAGGTATACGGTGTATTTTTCCCCACAACATTCAAAGCTATGCTTACTTATGATTAAAGTGAGGAACTCTGTGAAGCAAACGAGATAACTGAAGGCATTTTTAAATACATATGTAGTTACTTTGCATTAATGAGATATCCTGATGTATCAGGGAAGGAATGGCACTGCACCATTCCATCTTTCCCCTGATAGGACCCTGATAGGCTCTTAGAACCACCTCTTTTCTATCTAACCATCATAGATGGCTAAAGCATCCCACAAATTTGTACTTTGTCCATAACCTCTTCCCACATTGTAACAATTTGTTACTCAAGTGTAAATCTGATACTTTTGGCTTGAAAAGAAAGTGTTAGGCAACCTGCAAACATGAGCTCATTACTTTGGGCAAGGTGAAAAGGGTCTCTGATGTGGTATACTCATTGTTGGCCTCCAGATATTAGTCAAAACTCTGAAAGGAAACCAGTTTTTAACATGGTTTCTATTTTCCTTTTTGTTAACCTTTTTTTCTATATCTGACTCCTTCACACTTTGGTATGTAGCCACTCTTTTCTCTCTCTCTGTGTGTGTGTGTGTCTGCGTTATGATTCAGACTTCTAGCATGAGTTATCAAGCAGCTGTGTCTTGTAGGAAGTCTTTGGCAAATTTGAGTGAGGAGAGGTTTTATTTCACCATTTCCCATACTCTACCCCTGTTTTTCCCTAGCTTGAGTAGTTTTCTCTACAGCAAACATTTACAGAGACTGTGGAAAAACCCCAAATAGATGGAATTGGGAAGGAGACGGGCAGTACTGAACATCCTATATGTGTATGTAGGCAGGCTGAGAGTGCAGGGCACTCTTAGTCCTTGTGGCTGTCGAGTGCAGCTCTTGATGTAATGGGAAGACAACTCACAGTGCTTTTGTTTTTCAGGCTTTCTCTTTGGCAGGCACAAAGTCTTAGATCTTCATTCTACTTTAGTCTGTGCAGCTTCTGCTCTCCCTATGGCTCTGACTAGTTAGCACAGAGCTCATGGTGTGTGTGTTTGCCACTGGCAGGAAAGAGCTGCTATTTCAGTGCCTCATTTTTGCACTGCACATTTTAGCTTAAAAATGGTGTTGTTGTTCACCACCAACATTTTTTGTGAAAAGGATGACAAACTCACCAAAGCTAAAACTCATACCAGCTGCAAGAAAAAAAAAACATTTCCTGAACACAAAAATTTTGGTGAAACCAGGTTAAATTCTCCTCAGGTGACCTACTAGCACTCAAGTGGGTTTTTACACATCAGACAGTGTGAAGTGCAGTATATTTTGATGCACTGGAACAAGCTGCCCAGACAAGTTACAGATGCCCCATACTTGGCAGTGTTCAAGGCCAGGCTGGATGGGGTATTGAGAAATCTGGTCTAGTGAAAAATGTCCCTGCCCGTGGCAGTGGAGTTGGAACCAGATGATCTTTAAGGTGTCTTCTAACACAAACCATTCTATGATTCATTCTATGACTATATGTTCCATCTCCAACAAGAGCCAGTACAAGCTTTCTTAAATCTTCCTAAGGATACATGGAGGCACAAAATTCAGGTATCCAAATATAACTTACAAATTTGATCAAAATCCTACATCAGAGAAATTTCTTCTTTATTCATAGTTTCATTTACCCCTCAGTTCTGGTTTGGTTTTGTTGTTATTGTCTTTGGGTTTGGTTTTTTTTGTTTGATTTTGTTTGTTTGTTTGTGTGTTTTTAAAAAGCAAGCAAACAAAAATAAATAAATTTTAAAAAAAGAAACATGAACTGTGAGTTCAAATTCTTTTTTTTTTTTTTTTGTAAGTTTAACTCATCAGTTTCTTTTTCCCTCTCTTGTAATTTTTTCCACCAGGTTTGCAAAATTAAAGACAATGGAGGACACTTTTTTTTTTCTCCAAGATAATTGGGAAAAGAAAGTCTAAAGTCATTATTGGAATCCTGTTAAACAAGACTACACCCTCTCTGCAGACTTGTTACACTCAGATTCTTTCTCAGTGGATCCCAGGCGTATCAGGTAGTGAGGACAGCCAGAACAGGCCAGCCTTAGGTAAACCAGTTTGACATCTTTTTGACTGACCTTCAAGTTCTTCAAGATCAGAATGAAGTCATCATTCTGGCAAACTGGGAGAGAAAGGACCCTAGTGTCAAAAATGCTCAACTCTTAATATGACTGGAAGCGTCTGAGACGAGACACGCATGAGACATGACTTCTTACTGGTTAACTGAAAGTCAGTGAACTTGGATCAGAAGCTGGCAGTAGACACCCTTATACATTAATCATTTTCCAGCACCTTGAAGCACAATAGCATGTCACTAACAGCACACACGCTTGGTATTTAGAATACCAAAAATAGGAAACACCTGTGGTAACTCTGTGGGACTTGGCTCCTGTATGTGGACCGCTGCAATAAAGAGCACTGCAGGAGTATAGTGGTTCCCTTTAAAGCCTGTGGGTTCCAAAGGTCTGCTATCTCTCTCTGAGTATCTCCTGCTTAAAAGTGTGTGGTCCTTGGAAGGACAGGAAGGGCAGGATAAAAGAGGAAGGAGGACAGGAACTGGAGCTGTACAGCTACCATTAAAGGACTATTTAAAAAAAATGGCCCTAGCATTGTCAAAGGAGTGTCTGAGGTACAGTGAAGACTATGATGAACTGGAGTTTTTTCAAATCTAAGTACAGCTTCAAGAAGAGGAGTGTGGAGACTCTGCACCCACACAAGTAGGAAATGGCCCAAGATATCAGGCTGGAAACAGACTTGGAGAAAAGTCCTTTCTGTCAGGCTCAGGTTCCAGACTGGGAATGGCATGGACTCCTGTTAAGAACTGGGGAAACAAAAAGAGAAACAAAGTTTAGATGAAGCCCTAAATGCAGTAAAAAGACTGCAGATTATAGAAAGAAATAACCAAAAAAAAGGGTCTTCTTTTTTTCTTCGGTGATACCTTTATGAAATCTCATTGTTTTACAGCTGCTGTGTCTGCAGAGGAGCTGAAGGATGGTCGCAGTGCAGCACCACACCACAAGATGGCAAGAATCAGAAGCTGACCTCAAACCAGAATTCAGATAGAACAATGTAATTACATTAAAACTGGAGATTCCAAACTACCAAAAATGTAATTTTAATGAAACTGGGGGTTGCTTCAGAAAATTTCTAAGTTTTTTCTTTGCTCTTTGGCCTGTTGTTTTTCAGATCAAATCTCACCCTAACGCCACCTCACACACAGAAGTGACAAATACCCACTGCAATACAATCCTCTCTGTGTCCTCCTAATGAACTTAGTTTGTTTGGAGAAACACAGGGAAAACCTTGTCTTCTCTGTCACTATTTGTCATCTTAGTTTCTTTCACCTCCACTTTTCCCCTTTTTTTTTTTTAATTTCATGACATACTATTTCTAGCCCTCACCTGAACTACGAATTTATTAAATGCTCATCTTTTTAAACAGCTTTCTCAATTCTCTGAGCACCTTTACTTGTTGTGTCCCAACATTTCCCTTTTTCTCTCCAACACCAATTGAAAGACTGCTATTTTGGTTTTTCAGAGATGCTGAGTCCAAGCTAAGAGCAATCAGTTGTTGTATTATTATTATCTAAGCAACAAAAGCTCCAGAAACACTATAGTCACAAATCCAGTCATGGTTTTAGTTTAGACCTTTGGGTACAAATGTCTACACTGCAGATACAGCAAGCCCACATTGCATTAAGATTCCTGATTCTCGCCTCAATACAGCAGTTGCATTAGATCATCTCTTGCAGTCTTCTTCCAGTGGTACAGTTCTCTGGTAATTAGTGGCTGTGTTGATAGATTCAACACAGAGGCCAAACACCACAGAGGAGCCGCTCTGCTCCCCAGGGGTTGGATTGTGGCTGAAATGAATTGACAGGCCAGTGTTAGACAGTTTGCACAGTTGTATGTGTTCTACAAATAAACAAAGGCAGGACACACTCTGCAGCCAGCAGGTTTTGCCAACTCCACATTTACATGCAAAATACTGCTCTTAATGAGGTTGGACTATATGACCTCCCGAGGTGTTTTCCAGCCTCATTTATTCTACAAGTCTATGAAAATTACATTAAAATCACATTAATAAAAACAGGGATTCCATGGAAAGTTTTCATTTCATTCAAACTACTTGATTTCCTCTTAATAGCCTCACGGGGGAATTTCTGAAAACGTTGAGAGCGAAACTTTCCCCACCTCTGCTTCGGCAGGTGACGAATAATGGCCAAATAATCCTCGAGCAGGAACGGTCCTACAGCTCTCACCGTGCCTGACTTTGCAACCCTGAGCTCATGCTGAGCGGTGCTTGCTCCTCAGAGTCATTCGGTGGGAGCCAGCACCATTCCAAGGTACACTGCCCACGCTGAGGGTCGGGCCCGTGCGCACTGTGTGTAAGGGCTGAGGAATCTGGCGCTCGGCACACGCGGGCCACGCTACGGCCGGTCCCAAGCCCAAAACAAATACAATTGGTGCACTTTAAACATCTCACCCCCTTTGTGAGCATCTAGCGACTGCAGCCTTTATTTGTGTGCCAGCCCCTTCACATGGCCTGAAAATTTCAAACGACTTCGTAGCCGTGGGAGTGCTAATTAAAACATTCGGCAGTTTTACTGTCTGAGCAGTGTAAATATGATGTAAAAAGAAAATTAAAGACCATTTACACAGATGCATACTTGTTCATTGTAGCTGTAAAATCTAGCTGCAGGGACCTGGCAAGAGCAAGAGTCTCTTATTCTTCAAAATAAGTTATTCAGCAAAAAATTAGACACCAAGCTTTAGCTTGGCCGGCTTATTTTTTGTTAGCTTAATTTTTTATTCATTCCTTCAAAGCCACACTTTCCTACTTTTTGCTTGGTTTATAATACTGGTCACTCCATTTACTGCTGAAATGGGTTAAGGGATGATTCGAAACAAAATATTTGTTTCACACTCTTGAGGTCACAGTCCACACACAAAACTTTTTCCCCTTCTACTCATGCAACAGCCTCTTTTAGACAGTGAATTGCAGTCATAGGGAATAAAATCCCCTGAAACATCAGCCACAGGTTATGCCTAGGATAGGGAAAGCATTCTGGAGAATCTTATTTTCCAGCACTGGTTGATGTTTCAGTCTGGGATTTCAAGAACACGACTACAGTTGTTTACACTGCAAAGAAAGGAGGTTTTTGATCAGGGGAAGCTGAGTCACTACTCCCTGTTAGTTTTATCGTTTTGCAGTGAGCAAGAGCTGATGCCTGATCTTCCTCTGACCTCCTGTTCAAACTTTTTTTCTACATTCCCAGGCTGTTATATTCTATTTAATCATGTCTCTTTACTATTCAGAAGAATCACATACTTTTTCGTTTGGTGTTACGTGATGTCATAGACAAAAGCAGCATAAATCCCATGAGGTTACCCCCCCCAGTCAAAAGGGTTCACTGAGAGGATGAGACTCAGTCCTAGAGATTTTTTTCTGGGTCCTGAGCTATTTTCAGGACTGGGGACTGGGAAGGGGAGGACTGGTTTTTGTTTTGTTTTGTTTTGTTTTCCCACAGACATCATAAGACAAATAGACCACGGGTCAGGTAATGTAAGCAACAGACTGCAAAACCATTGCCAAAAATTGTAACCACCCAATCATCTCTTGAGGAAAAAATTCATTTAAGTGACACATGTTAATAGTATTGAATTCAAAACACTTGCTTTGACATCCAGATGTTGGAAAGTGCCATATCCTGATTAACAAAAATATTTTCTGGTCTTTCAGATCTTCCTCCCTTATTTTGATTGCAATTCAAGTTTTGGAGAAATTTTTTCCCACTACTGTCCACTGATCACATCACTGAAGTATTTCAAAATTTTAGCTTGTTTCCTATAGGGAAAAAATGGGAAGCATAACCACAAATATTTATGTTAGTGTCAGTGCTTATTATTTGAAGCTTATTCAGTCTGCTGCAGTGCCACTGCAATAGCATACCATCAGATATGGCATCCAGCTCCTGCAGGCATTTAAGAATAATGTCAACACACACAATCTTTATAAGCTGGAAAAGACAGAGTACCCCAAATGGAAAGGTGTGATCAACATGCAGAAATGTCCCCATGCAATTGCTACTCATTTGAAAGCTTTGGAGAGCCATAGCAGTTTTATCAACAGGAACAAAACTCTAGACATGAGTCGGCTTTGGAGTGCCTTGCTCATGGGAAAACTGAGAGCCCAAGATCTTGATGTTAACTCCTTCAGAGCAGTCCCTGCCACTAGTGGTGCTCTGCAGCTAGGTGGTTGCTTAGCTGTCTGCTGTCTGATACTGTATCAGGACCCAGATTTTTCCTGTAAGATGGTGGGGATGGAAGGGGGTGAGAGATTCTCTCTCTCAGAAAGGGAGAATTTAGGCCACCGTATTGTAAAGCCTGTTTGGTTTTCATCACTTTCTAAGGATAGAGCATGTGTGTGGTGAAATTCCCAAGTTTAAAAAATTTTATTAAAGTATCAGGTGGGGGCTGTCTTTTTAAGAGGAAAGAGCCCACAGTGATCATGATACAAGTGCAGAGTTCCCTTTCCATAGCAGGCATCCTGTGTTTCCCTAGCTGACTTCTGTCTGTTCTTCTTGTGGTTGTCCTTTCTTGTGGAGCTCCCATTACTTATATTAGTAAGAAATTAAAGGCTATTATATTACTAAATTCTACAATGATAATGGGGAATGTAATTATCTAAGAGAAATAGGCTTCAGATAGAAGGCTCAGCACCTACTTTTCTCTTTTCCCTTAAACATGGTAGCCTAGATCCCAGAGTTATTTCTGTGACAAAAGATCCTCATTGTAGTTTTACTGCTGTTGTTGTAGTCTTAATGCTAATGGTATTTGATAAAGAAAGCCTTACAGAAATAGTGAGGGCTTATTCACTGTCTCAGACTGCTTTACAACAAAGGCACACAGTACACAGCAAACCTTCTCCTTTCAAGATGGATAATTTCTTTTCAGTTGGAAAAATAAAGGCCCTTCTTTTTGTCATAGGGTTTTTGAATCTACTAAAAAAAGGGAGCTAAGTGACATGTAATTATTGAAATATAAAGGCAATAAAGCAAAAAAGAAAGCATCTCAGCAGCCTAAACAAAAATCAAAAGAATTCTGAGGCGTGGTCAAGCAGAGCATTCAAGTTCTCCCCATCCCCAAATAAGAGCCATAACCACAACTATATTCAAATTCTCTGTTTATTATATTTTGGTGCATTTTCACCTATCAACCAAGTAGCGTCATTTTCTGTAATTTTAAGGTTTATGACACATTTCAGTTTCTTCCTTTATGGGAAAGACACACTGCAAATATTGGGCAATGTCTTGCGAAGTCTTGTCCTAACCTAACACGACTGAGCAGTGTGGGAGGAGGAAGTAATGACTTCCCCCTGACCTGAGTAACTGACATGAAGTCTGCCAAGAATCACAGCCTCTTTGCTCCAGGGAACACAGGAGCAACTCTTCAGAGAGGAGGCGGGGAAGGTGGGGGCAGAAGTGGGGTCAGAAGTATGTCTCTGCCCCCCTCTGTGCTCCATGTGGCAGAGGAGAGTGGTTGCGACACTTAAAAAGAAGTAGTAAATTCCTCTCCACCTTTTTCCTCCCATCGTTAGTTCGCCTGTGAAGGGTTGGCAGTGCAGTCTTGCGCTGTTGTTTCCCGGATTGGTACCATTTTGCAGTGCCCACGATGTGGGGCAGCACATAAAACACAAGAGACTAGCCCATTTGGGAAAGAAAATGGTTTTCCTGCGTGGCCAGAGCTGTAAGGATGGAATTTCACAACAGAACAAAAATAAAGCACAGCACTGTTCCAGAATTTCTCGATTCTTATTCTAAACAGTAATAAACCCACCTCCCAAACCCCAGTCCGGACAAAATATTAGCATTCCCTCCACTCTGGTTACAGCTCACATCCCTCTTAATACCTCTTGCTCTGCCATGAACTATTTGTATAAGAAAGGCTTATGTTTGAACTGGAATTGGCACAAATAGTTACCCACTGGATATTTCTTTTCTGCAGAAATCTGATCTCTTTCAGTGCTTCACAAATCACAGAATCCACTGAGGACAGAAGCCTGTGTTTTCTTCTTCTCCAAAGAGAATAAAAAATCGTCAGTAACCCTGACAGCTTCCTGTAGTGTGGCTCTCACAGCTTA